TCAGCCTCTGCCTAGGTTGTCCTCTTCTTAATATGTCCCAGTGGGGAGCAGTAGGTAAACTGCCCAGTCTCCTTTTCAATTGCCCCAGGACAGGCAGAGAAGCATGTCTGAAGAAATCTGACTCTCTCATGGACAGTTCCTTATACAGTAGATGAAAATACTCAAAACTCTTTATGCATAACTTTTTAACATTTAATTTAAAATAAAAATATTTTTCTATGCAATTGGTTGGTTTTCCCGTGGGGGGGAGGGGGAGTATGTATAGATGTTTGGATCTGGGTGATGAATCTCCTGCAAAAAAAACTCTCCTCTGTGAATATGGCTACAAGCCATGATGGCTATGCTCTACCTCCACAGCCAGAGGTAGCAATACTTCTGAATACCAGCTCCTGGAAGCCACAGGAGGCAACAGTGCTCAAATCCTGTTTGCTGGTTTTCCCCAGGCACCTGGTTGGTCACTGAGAAGAGGATGCTGGACTAGATGGGGCATAAAGATCCAGCAGGATTATTTTATGTAACAGAGATTTAATCATACAGTGTGAGGGGCAGCCTGTGAGTGTTCCAGAATAGAATTCTAAGCATCTGGAAGAGAAAAAGGGCAACAATAAAGTGCAAGAAACCATGGGATGAATAAGCACAGAATCAGAAGAATGAACAGAGCGACTAGGCCTATAGCGGGGGCACTAAGGCCAAGTGACAGGAAGCCTGATCATAAAAGACATGAAGCTTATAAAGTATTCTAGAGTTAATAGCTAACCTTGCTTTTTAATTGCATGAAAGCTTTGAAAGAAGGAAAAGTCAAGTGAGCAAGAGAGGAGGAGTAGCTGCAGGCCTATTACTGGCTCCTGGGTGTTTACCATCCTCAGGGCTTGTTCCATGGCTAGAAAGCGCAAGCCCAAGCGACTTTCCACTTGTCCCGGTGCTTTCCGCAAGAAAACCTGCTCTTTAGCGCTGAATTGGAGCAAAGGGAGCAATGGGGGGGGGGGACCCAAGTCATGTTTGCTGATTCAGCGCTAAAGAGAGGGTTTCCGCGGGGGGAGGAGAGGGAACGGGTGGACAATACATCTTTGGTGCACCTGGAGAACAGCAGTCAGTTACAGGACCCAGAAGACTGGGCCAGTGTTGGGGAGGCCAGGTGAGAGTAAGCGGCAAACCGGCTGAAGCCCAGCTCTAAGGAATCGCAGAGAAACACATCCCCTTTGCAACGTGGGCAGCCTAAAGAACAAAGAGCGCGCCTAGGCAGCGCCACCTCGCGACTGCTCGTGGGAACTGCAAGAATACGAACATATGGTTTCGCTTGTCGCGCGTCGGAGACGTCATCGGGAAGCGCGGTTGCCTGGGCAGCCAAAGCCGAAGAAGATGACGGAGAGCGAGGAAGAGCAGCAGGAGCTAGTGCTGAGGAGGAGGAGGAGGAAGGTGCTGGTGACGCTGCAGGTACCGGAACCAGGATGGTGGGTGGCACCGGTTGGCATGGTGGACTCAAAGCAGACCTGGGGCTGCTCGTCCTCATGGTTTGGCTTCCTATCGCGGCCTCATCCCCCTGAGGACCCTGAAAAGGAGCAGCAGCCCTGGGAGGGCGGGAGGCTTGGTGCGGGTGCAAAGCAGGCGAGAGAAGCTTCTGCATGCAAAACTGGGAGCTTCTGCATGCAAAGCAGATACGCTCCCTTCCCAACGTGGCCTGTTTTGCGTAAATACACATTTCACCCATCCCACCCCTTTCCCTCAGTGATTCCCTTGTAGCAAATAAACTGCTCTGCTTAAAACATTTTTTGCTGCTGCTGCTGTTTTTAAATGGAAATGGTGGCTTCTGTTAAAGAATGCCCAGAGGGAAAAGTTCTCAAAAGTGGTGGTGGTAGCGTGTAATATATAAATACGCACACATACATATGCCTTTTGCTCCTCTTTCTTTCCTTTCCTGCCTCCAGCATCTCCTCTCTTGGGATTGAGGTCAGGAGCAGAGTATACTAGGACTGCCAACTTCCTAACTGGCCTTTCTCCTGCATCTTCCACAGCAGCCTGGCAAAGATGGAGATAGAAAAAGCATCACTGTATAATTCCTGATTGTTGGGTTGCTTTTTAAAGGCACAAGACCAGGAAGTGGGGGGGGGGAGTCATGGCAGCCCTAGAAAACTGGCCTGTGTTATATCCAGGCTTGGGCTCATGGCCTCTAATTCCTTCCTAATTTGTGATTGTTATTTTTTTATGATTCATTTACTTCCTAGGCTCATGTCAGGGGTTACCTGGTCAGGAAGAGATTTCAAAGCTTAAAGGGAGAATATGAGAGCATCGTCAAGGAGATTGAAGGGGATCTGGATTGGCTGAAGTGGAACAGGCATTCCATGCCAGTGCCAGTGTTTCTTCCAAAGGTACAGTTGCTGGTTCTTTCTGCTCTTGGTAGAAGCTGGCAGTGCTTCCACTGGCTTTTAATTGCAACAGAAGGAAAGAGAAGAGGAAAATGAGAACTGACTTCAGTAAATGCGAGGGTGCTGCTTACTGTTGCAGCCTTGTACTGAAAATGGTGCTCTTCTTCCTCTGTCTTATAGTCTGTCCAGAAACCAATAAAAGCCAGGGAATTAAGTGTCCAAGAGCCAGGAGCAAACAAGAACAAGTTGCATGAAAAGGAGGCAGAGCTTTGTTGTCAAGAGCTAATCTCCGAAAAAGACCCTGATTGCAAGATGCAGCTTCCTAGCAGCCTTCCAGGTGAGGTGGTGGCTGTAACTGAAGCTGAGGAGGAGTGTCTTGTGGGCAGGCCCCCTGGGAATGCCTGCAGCCTGCCAGGAGACAGTGAGGAAGGCCAGCACCACAACAGCATGTCGTCCGAATGGAGCAGCATGATCCTCGACATGGAGTCTCCAAGGCTGAGCCAAGGTAAGGCATGTGGAACAATTTGAGACTCCAAGCTCCACCCACTGTCTTCCTTTGCTTTGCAGTAATTACTGTTTTTCTCTGTTCTTCAGCATCATCACCCAACATAGTGCTTTTTGCTTATGCTAAAAAGGCAGGTCCCTGCCCCAATAAACTTACCTGGTAGTGGGGGGGGGGACAGGGAAGAGGAGCCAACAGGAGGGGAATGGCAAGGGGGAGGCAGACTAAGAGTAGTTTCTTGACCTTTTGTTGTGCAGAGCTTCATTTCCAAAAAGTACCAGAGATGCCCCAAGCTGTGCCTGACCTCCAGCACTACCGAAAGCACCTGGCCATGGAGCTGCTGTGGCTGCAACAAGCGATTGCCAGCCGTAAGAACGTAAGAGCTGGTTCTCAAGGAGCCATGGGGTGTCTTCTGTGCATGGGGAGGAGACGCTAGGAGAGCAGGTGCTGCGGTGTGGAGCTGTGACTTCTTGTTCACACCTTTGTAAGATGATGCCTACAGCACCCTCCCACCATTGAGAAAAGAGCTGGTGGGTCTGGGATGATTCTTCAGCTTTTGCTTCTTTTAAATTCAGTGGGTGAGTGCTCAGCCACAAATAGCTAAAATTATCAGAGGCAGTATCCATTGGAGTCTAAAGGTATGCTGGTGCTTATTAGTGTTTAATATTCATTTCAGAACCAACAGTGCACTAGGTGCTGTACAAAGGACAAGACTTCATCCACAACTCATTTCCTTATTTCTCCCTTTTCTCGCTCTGTTTTCTCCCTCTCTCCCTTCTTCATAGTATTTGATCCTGAAACAGAAGTTGGGGAGCCCAGAGTGACTGCCGACTTGGAGGTCTCCAGCCTATGTTCCCAGTCACACAGAAACAGATGTAGCTGTTCTTACCAGCTATCAGGGGGAAGAAAGCATTGGGAGAGCAGCTCCCACCATAACTGCAGGGAAGGGCTTGTGGTTCCCTGGAGCTGGCTACTTTGCACGGTCCCAGCTTTCATGTTTGTGAAAGCAAGTGAAGATTCTCTTCTGATTTTTCATGTCACAGCTTTGCCTGTTGCGGGTGTGTCTCTTAGAGCAGGGTTCATTGTGGAAGGGGGCTGAGGGGCTTTATGGGGGTCGGAAGACATTGTTCCAGTGCGAGTCAGACGGGCAAGTCCTGTCTTAACATAATCATTTTTCTCAATTCTTGTTCAGACCATAACCATTTTTGCTTTCAATTTGATAATGCCCCTGGGTCTCTTTCCTTTTCAGTGAGACAGCTGGAAGAGGTGAGCCAGGCAACCTCTCTCCAGTTTCCCACTGTATAGTATATATAAAAGTAGGTTTTAAACTGCAGGGTGTTTTTTCCCCTCCAGGACCTTGTTTAATATTCCTTCAAGAATGCAACTTTCTTTCCATCATTGAATCCCTACTTCTCATCCAGCATTTTTGACCCACTTCTTTGACACAAGAATGATGAGCATTTATTAGTGAGGGCTGATTTTACCTTCATTTTATTGCTACTTAAGTTTGCATACAATATTTTATTGCCACATTTTCACATAAGGAGCCATTTTTGTGAAACCTCCCTATATGGAAAAATTACACAGTAGTCACATGAGAAATTGCCCCTTTACAGCCCTCTGCTATGATAACGTTTTACACAAACTATTTATTCCTTGAGTGATACTGAGGCAGTGATGTTGCCACATGCAAACACCACACTCTGTGGAATAAAGGTGAAATATCGAGACATGTGTCTTCAGCAGTTATCTTCTTAAATCTTTGCTTTCTTATTCTTCTGTACTTTGCTACATTAGCAGTATATACACAACGACAATCTACACACATGGGATGGGTTTTTGGAGGGTGGGGAGTGCTAATGTTTCTAGATTTTTTAAAAAATAGAAAAAATGAAGACTAGACATGTTCTGTGGCCACAGAATACTGATTTGGGGGGAGGGGTGCTGCTGATGGGAAACTTTGTGGGATAAAAGATGGTGGAGTATCTTGCACTCAACACTGCAACCCTCACCTCCCCCCCTCCACCTCCTTCTTCCCTAACCTTATACTGTATACAACACTGATGTTCTCATATGAAATGTAACCAATCTGTAGAAAAGACTTTACAACCAGAAAAAAGAAGCAATGCACATACTTATGTAAACCAAGAAAATCTTTAATTATTATTTAAAAAAACAACAACCAACAACCACTGCAACACTCTGTTGCAAGTCCCACATGTGTACAACTAATTACTCTTTCTTGAATTCATTGAAAACACCGGGGAGTTTCCGAAGAAGAGGGTAAAGCTGTCCACACATGATACTTTGCAAATGCAGCCAACACAAGATTTATGCTTTGCCCAGAGTCACCAGGGGTTTTTTTCATTCATTTTTCTTTAGTGCTGGAGCTCAAGATGGCCTAGAAGCCTGTGCTGTCATTACAGTAGCTTGGGCGGGTGAGGAGCTGTGGTTGTACAGTGGCAGGGGAAAGCCACTCTGCACATACTCAAATGCAGTATTGTTTTTATTTGTTTACAATCATTTACACATCACCTGTCCAGGTAACAACTTTCTATGGTGGCTTATACTATGACTAAGAAACAATTAAAATAAGCATCAAAGAGTAAATCCACAGAAAAAAATCTAGGCATTAGCCTAGACCAGACTTTCCCAACATATTGTCCTCCAGCCTAGTCTTTCTGCATGCCCTTCTGATCTTAACTAATTATGGGCCAGAGAGCTGGGCTGCCAAAGCCAATTTCAGTGCTTAGGCAACTTCACATAGGCCTAAGCAGTCCTTCAGATGATGCTGTTTGGGGCTTTACAGTTCAGCACTTCCATTGTTTTCCTCCACTGCCCTGCCTCACAGCTCTGCATGTGCACTAGCAGGAATGCTTGCACTTTTAGTTCACCTTTGCAGAAAATTGCTCTCTTGAGCACTTTGAACAAACCCTGCCCGAGTTGAAAATGCTCCTCCCTTCAGGCCTTGACAGCTCTAAGCTTGTGCGAAGTCCACTGGGTGCCTCAAAAGATGCTGTGTGCGTGCGTGCGTGCGCCCTACGAGCAGAGACAGCATTAGCATGGAGAACTGTTGCCTTCCACAAATTCTTCCCTTCTTCCAAGACGGTTCTCATGACGTCTCATGTACAGACCCGGCTATGCAGAGTGCAACTCCCAAAGCTGTCAGTAGCATTCCCAGTGCTGCTCCTAAAGGGAAAAAAATGGAAAAATAAGCAAAAGCTCTGAAAGTGCTCCCTGTTGCTATCCACTTCAATGAAACTTGCTCATGGAAGAGAGGTGCATATTCATTTATATGCAAATCTTGTTGGCTCTCTATGAAGAAGGGCACAGTTGTAAGAAGGGCACAGCTAGAGCTGACAGGGTTGGCATCTGCTCAGGAAAAGAGAAACCTACTTGCACCGCCAATGTCTTCTCCAAGAACCTTCCCTGTTGCTAATGTGAACATCAGAGCCAGAGAGTTACAAAGAGGTACAGCCAAGGTCAGGTCTGAAATGGAAGAGGGAAAGGGTTACCATTGAAGCATCTGATCTAATCAAACAAATATGAAAAGGCTCTGGGATGGAAACAATACATCCTCAAGCAGGAAAGTGTCTGCAGGGAAGATACTTCCAGACTGACCTATGATAGTGCAGTCCCTTGAGTAAGTGAAGAAGATTGCACAGATGGGGGGCTTAATATAGCAACAGGTTTTAGGGTTTTTACACTTACCAGATTTACTATTAAAAAAATAAATCCAGGTTATATGCATGAAAAATAATGGGCTGGTGTTTGTGCCAGAAATGTCATGTGGATGCTGCAAAAAGCTTGCATGTTGGAGGAGCCGCAATCTCACAATAAACACAGAAAAGCCACGGTGACTCTGGCTCTGTCTACACATGCAGCAGAATGAAGTGGTAGAATGTGCAGGTGACAGAGTGAATGATACCACTTCAGGCTGTAGGTGAGGGGTGTTGTTTTTGAATGCTCCCCTTGTGAAAAGCATTCTGTCAGTAAACAAACAAAAAATTGAGCAGGTTCTAAGCAAGCTCAGTTCTTGTTGAGTTGGCTCTATCTCTGCAGGTTTGTTAGTGTTTTTACACAGGGGAGCGTTCAAAAATGGCACCCCCCACTTGCAGTATGTTCTATTTGAAACGGCCACAAAACAGTAATCAAGACTTGGAAGTGTCTGCATCTCTTCCCCAAATATCACTCACATCCTCTATAAGCAGTAATTTAGGACCAACCTGTAGATCCTAAAGTAAGATAGTAGACAAAAGAGCCACACTGGTTGAGCACAAATGGCACCACATACTGCAAAAATGAAAAATAACAGCATGGTCAGACCTCCAGGATCACTGGATTTGAAATCACAATGCGCTGCAATGAGATCCTAAAAAAACCTTAGCTGCTAATACCTCATTTCAGGCTACTGCAGTGTTCATACATGGTTCCCCAGCTGTTGCTGACCTACAATTCCCCAGCCCACTTCACAAATGGTGAGGGATGATGGGAATTGTAGTCCAACTTCTGGGGAATCAAGATTGAAGAATACTGGTCTACTGCAATGTGTTGTAATTGAGGTTATTTTTGTTAATAGCTGCAACTGATTCAAAATATGGCAAATACAATTTTAACTGGAATGGGTCACTGGGAGCAAAGTATATCAATTCTGAAAGTTCTTCACTGGCTACCAGTTCTTTACCAGTCCAATACAAGGTGCTAGTTTCAACCTTTAAAGCCCCTTACAGCTTAGGACAGGCATCCCCAACCTTCGGCCCTCCAGATGTTTTGGACTACAATTCTCATCATCCTTGACCACTGGTCCTGTTAGCTAGGAATCATGGGAGTTGTAGGCCAAAACATCTGGAGGGCCGCAGGTTGGGGATGCCTGGCTTAGGATCTAGGCATCCTAAGAACCACCTACTCTCATGTCACCTCCAAAAGCAAGTATGATCCCACCCAGTAGTTCTCTGCAGTGTTCCCCCACATCAGAAACCTGCTAGGTGGCAACAACAGTGAGCTTTTTCATCTGTGGTGCCTCAGCTGTGAAGCACCCTCCCTTGCTTCATGTCTACTACTTTACTATCTTATGTACCAGGTTAAAACATTTTTACTCTCAGGCATTTAAAGATCTGATGTTTTAAATTTTGTGTTGCTAGAAAATTTGTCTACTCTGCTGTTTTATGATTGCGATGTTTTAGTAATCTTTTGAACCACCATCTATTTTACTATACATGCATTTACTGTAGTTTATTGTACTGTGTTTTAAATTGTACCTTGAATTGCCTTAGGATACCATTTTATGAAAGGCAACATACAAATCTCATGAATAAATAACCACATTTTATTTCTGCTTGAGTCCAAGGCTGTAGCTGTGGGAAAAGCCCTCTTGGGCTATTGATGCTGTGAATCCCTCCATCATAGGCTTAGGTTGTATATATGTGTAAAGAGACCATACATCATAGACACCAGAGTCTCCGCCGTGCCTCATTTCCAAAAGGAAACACAAACCCTGGGACCACCTGGAAATCTCACACCACTTAGAGATTGGAGTGGTGTGCAACAATACCTTGTAATTGAGGCAAAGGAATTTAATTTCTGCCAGCAGCTGTAGAGTTCTGCTCTCTCTCTTCACTCGCTCCAGACCCTCTGTTCCTCTTTTCAAAAATGGATTGGTTCCTCCCCAAAGAACAGCCACCAAGACCAAAGCAGCAACTTCACCTGCAACAACACAGCGCTCTAATCCCTACAGTCTAAGAATTGTTTTCAAGAATTTTTCAATGCATGAGTTAGGGAATGATTCAAGGTTCAGCGTCTAACAGTTCCCCAGCACCAACACCATTTGACGTGGTACCAGAGCCCCCACACCCGTAAGACTTCCAACAGCATAAACTACAGCATCAATATATGAGGTGATGGGAAGCCCTAGATCAAAGGTGGTGAACCTGTGGTCCTCCGGATGTCCCTGAACTACCGGTAGTTCCCATCACTGCAGACCACCAACCCTGCTGGCTGGCGCTGATGGGAATTGGAAGTCTGGAGGGCCGCAGGCTCCCCATCTCCACTTGAGAGAAGGGGAGGGGAGAGAAAAAGAGAAACTGATGCTGTACTTAGTGTGGTCCCCTCGTTTTCTGGTAACAAATCGCACACACTTCCCTCTCCCCGCCTCAAAACTTTTCTCCCAGTCTTTGCGAATAAGAACCCTTTGATGACGGAAGAGATTTCAAAATCAGTTTCAAAGCAGGTAGGGCGAGCCTGCGACCCTCCCGATTGGCCATACAAGCTACGGCTGGCGGGCACAACGGCGGCCTGCAAATAAATCGAACAAAGACCATCGCAAGGTCATGCGCGTTACTCAGAAGGACTCCCTCCCCTCCCGGTTAAGAGGGCCTCGTTCCCAGGTCACCGTCCCCCCACCCGGCCCTTATTTCTGTGCACCGGAAATAACATCCTCACCCGGCGACACCATGGCGACAGACCCGACCACAGTCGAGCAAGAGGCTAGAGAGACGCGCAGCTTGCTTTTCCGGTACGAAACGGAAGTCGGCCATTGACGCTCTCTTTGGCCGAAGACGGGGCGTCGCTCTCTCTTCCTAGCTCTATGGTCGGCCAACGCCTCCCAAGTGGCTCAGGCGCTTGTGACGTCCCTCCAGTGAACTGTATAGTATCTATATTTCCGACCTGTTAGAGAAGGAGCGCGCGCGCGAGGGGGGAACCATAGAGGAGATAGCGCTAGAACGGATTGTTATTCTTCTCACCGCATAGATAGAACGAGACTGGGATCTTTGTTCGCTTTCTGCCTCTGTGTGTTTGTGTTCTTCTTGCGTGACGCACCCTCCCCGCATGCGGGGAAACCTCAAACGGAAACCAAGCTTTGGATGCACCTCTCTCTCCTTTTCCTATCTCTATAATCCCGCGGTCGGCTTTTCCTTCCGGTTTGATGCCGGAAGTGGTTCCTCTGCCTTTTTCGCTCGTGGCGCCGTTGCTGTTCCCGGTGGCGTCTCTTCACCGCAGCCATGGTAAGACTCCCTTTCTCCCCCGCCGCCCTCCGGATTTCTCGAATTAGGTTTCTTAATTGACCCGGGCGTTGTTTCGCTGCCTGTGCGCTTTACCTGTGGGCTGTATAGGCCGCACAGCGAGTTGTTTTCATGCTTGTTTCTTTAGAGCCCCGCGCAGAAACGGGACGCGTGTCTGTGTGCGCGCACGACACTTTCGGAAGCCGCCACACCCAAAATCCAGGCTGCCTCCTTGTGTTGTTTATATTCTCCCCCCAACCCACAAACGCCGACACCCCCTTTTATCCGAAAACCCGTCCCTTTCCTTGCTCGGTAGGTTTAAAAAGTAGTCATGGCCGAACTCTGTTTCCTCTACAAGGTAGAGAGGTGGGGAGAGAGCGCGGCTTGGGGTGCTGTTGAGACGACAGTTTTCCCCTTCCTTCTCTCCTCGCCCTCACCCCCTTCGCTTGCCTAACCGAAATGGCCTTATTCGAGAGAACTTCATATTGCAGACCCTGTGCTTGGAGACTTAAGTTGATTGTAGTTATTTGTGGTTTTAGTGACTAATGTTCAGCTCAGCAACTAAGCTGAGGAGCCACCTTATTATGATTTGAAAGTTGTTTTAAACTTCTTTTAATGTTGTAACCCACCCTGAGACCTTAGGTTGAAGGGTGGATAATAAATAATAAGGAATATGTGATTTAATAATACATTTCTTCACAGAAACCTATATTGTTGCAAGGCCATGAGAGATCAATTACTCAGATCAAATATAACAGGGAAGGAGACTTGTTATTCACAGTAGCCAAAGATCCGGTATGTTTTCCTTGAACTGTTCTTTTCTACACCTTTCTCACAGTTGCATCTTCTTGCTGCCTTTAAAAAGTATACATTGTTGCCTATTTAGCATATTATTTTCTCTTGTCCTTTTGAAGGGAAATATTTTGTTGATTTGTAGTTAACCATATAAACAGTTCTCCCAGTACTTCTCCCTCACCAAAACTCAGTGCAGACTTGTTTGCTTCTCACAAGCTATTAAGTAGTCAATAAATGGTCCAAAATCAGGTAGACTAGACTAGGATGGTAATTTTTTTCTTGTCTTTCTGTTTTGGGTGCATTTTCATAATATGATTATTCTTCTTTTATCAGATTGTTAATGTTTGGTACTCTGTCAACGGGGAGAGACTCGGCACATACAGTGGACATACTGGCGCAGTCTGGTGTGTGGATGCTGACTGTATCCTTTGGTTTTAGAAATCAGGGTATTTGAGACCCTTTTTCAAGTATTAAGCTGAGATACTTTTGAGAGACTTTGCAGTTGGAGTGAGCATTTCAGAGAGTAGTGGAGGGACCGAGCAACGGGAGCTCACCCCGTCGTGGGGATTCGAACCGCCAACCTTCTGATCGACAAGCCCTAGGCTCTGTGGTTTAACCCACAACGCCACCCGCATCCCTTTTAAAGAATATAGATTGGTTAAAAGAAACTTCCTGGATGCTTAGATTCATATGAAGATGTTGAGGTTTTGCCCCAGACACCTGACAGCAAAAGGCTTGTGCAGTTGGGTGAGCCATGTTTTGGAATTCATTTAGTATGGATACTTGAAGCTGTGCAGTAAGTCATATCCACCTCCTGTAAGCTGTACATAATTGCGTTGGGGTTCCTTAACTGCTCCTATAGGGGACACGAGGCATGTGCTGACAGGCTCTGCAGACAACAGCTGCCGGCTCTGGGACTGTGAGACAGGTAGAACCTCAAACAAAATCTTTTGTGGTGTGATGGGAGCACTGTGTGTAGTGAGGCAGGGTGGAAGATGGCTGAGGCTGATGGGAGTTGTAGTCCAGAACATCTGATGGGTGCCAAGCTGGGAAAGGCTTGATTAAAAACCTATCAACCTGAGACTGACTTGGGAGAATGCCCCACTGGAACTCATTTGATCTTGCCTTTGGGTAAACGTGTGGGATTGAACTCTCAGCTTAGCAGGCGCTTATCTGGCAATAAGAGGTGGGCTGCAGCTCACTGGGTAAGATACCAGCATCCAGCCCTCAGCATCTCTGGTTCAAAAGCCTCTGGTAGCAGAGCTGGGAAAGCTCTCTGTCCCCAATCACCCTACTCCTGTGCCTGAGGCCTTGGAGAGCTGGTCAGAGCTGATGGACCTGGTATGCAGAGATTTTCACACCTTCCTTCAAGCTGGTTTTATGTGTGATGTCTTTTGCCTTAGGGAAGCAGCTTGCTCTGGTCAAGACCAACTCAGCCGTGCGTACCTGCGGCTTCGACTTTGGAGGGAACATCATCATGTTTTCCACAGACAAACAAATGGGCTACCAGTGTTTTGTGAGCTTCTTTGACCTCCGTGACTCCAGCCAGATTGGTGAGGCCACCAGGTGGAGGGCTCAGGGTTTGGGGTGGGTGGCTGCCTCCCCTGCCCTTTGGCATCTCTGAATCTCACCCGGTTTTGCTTTGTCTGCAGAGGACAACGAGCCATACATGAAGATCCCCTGTAGTGATTCCAAAATCACCAGCGCAGTTTGGGGTCCCCTTGGGGAATACATCATTGCGGGACATGAGAATGGGGAGTTGAACCAGTTCAGTGCAAAGGTTAGTGTGGGTTGGAACTGTGAGCCGCAGCTGATAACCCAATGACAAACCACATCCAGCCACTTGGATGAGGATTCTTTTTTGTCCAATGTGCTTTGCAGTCCTGTTGAATTATGTTTATTTCCCCTCTTTTTTTTAAAGAGGAACTTGGATGAGTTGTTGTTATTTAGTTTAATGTTTTGTATTATTTCTTTTTTATTGTGTAAGCTGTTTTGGATGGGCTTTGCTCAGAAAAGCAGCCAAAAAATGCTTTAAAATATTGTTTACTATTATAACCACCTTCTGAGGTAAACTAGATAGAAAGGGAATGATTATTTGAAGGCCATCCATGAGCTTCAGTTAGGGGTCGCTAATTCTAAGTTACCATAGTAATTCTGTTCTGTAAGATTGGTGCTAATGACAACTGCTATAACTATAGTAGCTAACAATTTGAGCTGGTTGACATCTTTCACCTGAGCCCTTCCTTGTCTGCAGTATGGTGATGGTAATACTGTCCCATCTTACAAGATTGTATGAATTCTTGAGCCATATGTGAAATGCATTGAACACTGTAAATATGTTCTATTAGTGTTACTGTTGTTGTTATATTCAGGACTTGAGAAGGATGTTGCTTCTCCCTCCATTGGTCTGGAGGCGCTCAGTTTCCTTCACCTCTCTTTCCTCTCTTAGTCAGGAGAGGTCCTCATGAACGTCAAGGAGCACACCAAACAGATCAATGACATTCAGACCTCTCGAGACATGACCATGTTCATCACTGCCTCCAAGGATAACACTGCCAAGGTGCGTCCTTCATCTTTCCCTGATTTGCCCTCTTTAAGTGTGGAATTTGGGATTGGTGAGAGATTGTCTTAGCACTGTGTGCGAAACCCATTAGTAGCCACTGAGAGGTAAAAAGTTCACCCTGAAAGAAGCTTCTCATACTCCCCATTCATGTTTTAGCACACTCGGAAGTGCTGGAAGAGAAGGCTTTTATGAATAGGTTCCACTTCCACTGTTGGAGGCAGTACATCTCTGACATCCCGTTGCTAAGAATCACAGGTGGAGGGAGTACTCTTGTGCCTGAGTCCTGCTTGCAGGCTTCCCATTTGGGCATCTGGGTGGCCACTGAACTAGATACGCCATTGGCCTGATCCAACTGCCTGGCTCTTATGTTTGATATGGCACAAGAGTTGCTTGCACCAAGTATCAGTTTCCTGGTTTGGAATTGGTAGCACAGCCTGGGACTCCTGTCTCAGCTAGCCAAAGGACTGAAGATTGCTTAAATCAGTGCATGTCATAATGCACCATCAAGCAGAAGCCGCCCTCCTTGGCTTCTGAGGGCTGTTTTGTGCTTGCTGCAGCCACCGCAATGGGCTACCTGCTGCCGTAGCTATTAGGTGGTCTTTGCAGTGGTTGAGAAGTCTGCTTCGTGTGCTTGGCTGGTTAGACATGATGCTGTGGCATTCCCAGGGCAGGCGACTGGGACCTTTCCCAGGAATCTGATGCTTTATGTCTTTAAGATATGCTTGTGCTAAGAAGGCTCCTGCCAATTCACTTCTTCCTCTGCAGCTGTTTGACTGCACGACGCTTGACCACCTGAAGACGTTCCGGACAGAGCGACCAGTGAACTCCGCAGCCCTCTCCCCCATCTTTGATCATGTATGTTGGTGGGCCAGATGGGGCACATCTCACTTGTCCTGGGGCATCCCCACCCCATGGGTGACAGGGATGCTAGACTCTGTGCTACCTTTTGAATATATGTTGTTGGTTGTGCATTGCCTCCTTTGCCAGCTCCATCTGGCTTCAGTAGGATTGTGTAGGTGTGATGTGACAATACACTGAGAGATGGAGGGGCAAGACTCAAGAGTGAAAGAGCAAGCAGGGAGCATTAGCTAGGCTTCCCCATTTCCCTACCCCTTGGAGACACTCAGGTGGGCCAGAGCTTAGAATACTGATTATCATCCCTGTTGTCTGGTTGCTGGGAGAGTTCCTAAAATTCAGGTGGGCACTGGAACACCAGTATATTATTTATTTATGTATTTAAGTATTTATTATTAAACTTATTGGTCGCTTTTAAAAAACCAAAGTTACCCACAGCAACTTACAACAATAAATAACACATACATTAAAGCCAGCATTAAACAGAACAGGAAAAAACTCTGAAACACATTCATATTTTTTTAAAAGGCATATTTTTAAAATGCCCCACCCACTGAAGGAGGTCACAGATAATTAAAAGCCAAAGGCCCGGTGGAAGAGACATGTTTTTTCTCTGGCGCCTGATGGTATGTAATGATTGTGCCAGGCAAGCTACCCTGGGGGGTGGGGAGCATTCCACAAGCAGGGAGCCAGCACTGAAAAAGGCCTCTTGCATGTTGCCACCCTCCAGACCTCCTGCTGTGGGGCCCCATGGAGAAGGGCCTCAGATGATGATTGCAAGGTCTGGGTCAGCTCATATGGGGAGAGGTGGTCCTTGAGGTATTGGGGTCCTAAGACACATAAGACTCTATAGCTCTAGCTGCAATTTCTGAAGCACCTTCAAAAGCAGCCCCATGTACAATGCACTGCAGTAATCTAATCTAGAGGTTACCAGACTGTAGACAGAAGTTAGGCTATCCTTGGTCAGTATGTTTTGCTGTGTGGTAGAAAGCGAAGACATCGTGTATTGGGCTCTGAGTCCTTGGCCCATTAACACATTACAAAGGAGTGTGTAACTGAGGTGTTCTCTCCCCACCCCCCATTCCCTCTTGGGCAGGTGGTGTTGGGTGGTGGACAGGAGGCCATGGATGTGACGACCACTTCCACCAGGATTGGCAAGTTTGAGGCCAGGTGAGCAAATTATGGCTTCTCCTATTCCTCCAAGGGGGTGATGGGGGCGATGCAGTCAATTCCCCAAGCAACCAGTAGGCAATGGTTACCTCTTCAGTGAGGTATGTTGAAGATATTCTCATCATCAAAATCTGGGCTCTGCTGCTTGTGTCTCACTGCCTTTTCCTTTGTGGTTCTAGGTTCTTCCACCTGGGCGTTGAGGAAGAGTTTGGGAGAGTCAAGGGCCACTTTGGCCCTATTAACAGTGTCGCTTTCCACCCTGATGGAAAGAGGTAAGGGTGTCCATCTCCCTGCGTTCTAAGTGGGTGTGCATCTCACCAGGGTCAAATGTGGAACTCCTGGAATTGAATCTATAACTTTGTCTCTGCTTTTTTTCTGATTTCAGTTACAGCAGCGGTGGAGAGGACGGCTATGTTCGCATCCATTATTTTGATCCCCAGTACTTTGAATTTGAGTTTGAAGTTTGAACCAGCCCCATCCTTCTCCCCTTTCTACAGTTGCCTTCTGGATCTCTGTCTGTTTCTAAGGAGGTTTAGTGGAGATGCACAGACTGAAGCAGAGAACAGTGCACTATAACTGCTGCTGTGTTCTGGGGAAACACGAGAATGTCCAGCTTCTTGTCTGTTCTTGGGAACAGCTGCTTCCTGCCATGCTTGGCATATTTATAAAAGTTATACAGAAGGAAATAATAAATCCCCACTCTTGTTTCCAGCTACAGTAGGAGTGTGTTTGAATTTCTTAGCTGCTTATTTCTTTGTTACTCTTTTAACACTTGGTCATTTTTATACAGATTTGTTGAAGGGGAATAGTTTACATGGGCCTTAGAATTTAGCCTTAGGATTTGGGTGGCCTCGCTGCAGAGTTTTCCTTCCTTTCTCAAGATGCACATAGCTCCCAGGGCATTTGTAGTAGTAGTAATGGTACTGACTGGATTTCTTACCCAGCCTTCACCACAAGGTCCCGCAGCAAGTTAAAGGTAAAGGTACCCCTGCCGTACGGGCCAGTCTTGCCAGACTCTAGGGTTGTGCGCTCATCTCACTCTATAGGCCGGGAGCCAGCGCTGTCCGCAGACACTTCCGGGTCACGTGGCCAGCGTGACAAGCTGCATCTGGCGAGCCAGCGCAGCACACGGAACGCCGTTTACCTTCCCGCTGGTAAGTGGTCCCTATTTATCTACTTGCACCTGAGGGTGCTTTCAAACTGCTAGGTTGGCAGGCGCTGGGACTGGACGACAGGAGCGCACCCCGCCGCGGGGATTCGAACCGCCGACCATGCGATCGGCAAGTCCTAGGCGCTGAGGTTTTACCCACAGCGCCACCCGCGTCCCTCCCCGCAGCAAGTTACAACCGTATAAAAACAGAATATTAAAATCAGTCAGAACAACTTACAATCATGGAGGAGAGGGCTGTCAATGGCTACCAGCCATGCCTATGCTGTACCTACACAGCTGGAGGCAGCAATACTTCTGAACAGGAGTTGGAAATGGCAGGATAGGAGAGTGCTCTTGTGCTCATGTTCTGCTTGCTCATTCCCCGTAGGCATCTGGTTGGCCATGGTGGGACATTGGCCTGAGCCAACAGGCCTTACAATCAGAAGAATAGGGCAGGTACTGTACTAAAAAGACACATCTCAGGTGTCCAAAAACCAGAATAAAAGGCATAAACGCTGTCATTCTCTTGTTGGACCAAGTGGCCCAGCAAATGCCTTGCATGCAGAAGGGCCAAGGTTCAATTCCCCATGGCATTTCCTGGTGAAAAAAAAGGGCCCTTGGCAGGAAAGTGAGGGAAGCTCTTGCTCTGCTGGAGACTTGCTCCCACTTGGAGTAGATCAAGCTTTCCCCAAACTGATGTTTTGGACTCACAACTCTCATTAACCTCAACCAGCATGAAAACCACTTGGAAGGGAAAGCTTGGGAGAATGGCCCTGGGCTGGATGGACTAACTCATGGCCTGATTCTGTAGAAGGACATATTCAACTAAGTTGTGATTCTGGAGGAAACTTCGTAGTTTGTTTTTAAGATCATATTCTGGAGGAAACCCTACCAAACTCTTTGCCCACTTGCCAAACTTACCCTAAGCACAGGATTATTTCCTTGATGAGAAGCCTGGATAATTGGACTACACAAAGATCTGGCAACTTGTGTAGTCCAACATGAAGTGCCTTTTAATTGTCAGACTTTGGTGACCAGCTCTGTATCCAGTGGGGAAATTCTCCTGTTTACAAATCTGTCACACACAAGGGCTGGGTTCACAACATGGTTAGTGACCAGCACCATTTGCTCTCCTTGATAGCTCTGTGCTTGCTGGTTTCCAGCACAGCAGAAACCAGGCTGTGGCTGATCTTTTCCTACCCAGTTCTTTGGTTTCTGCTTTTGAAATGGCTTGTGCTGCAGTCTGCTTTGGTGCCATCCCACTCAGTCTTCCTGTGTGCACTTCACTATTTTCTGAATTTCTCCCCATGCGTCATCTAGATGGTGGGATGAGCGGACCCAGCGGAGGAATAAGCCTGTAGGAAATTGTTAGATTAATATCTATATCCCCATATACAGCAGGTTGGAAAAATAGTAATTAAAGATATTTCCTCTTCTACTCCCCTTCGACTCTGGGCTCTTGCTTTGATTGGGATGGTAGCAGTATTACCATAACAGTAATAGTCTGGAAGAGGAATATTGAGTAAAATGCCGCAGCTGAAGGAATAGGAAAGGTATTTGGATATCCCAAATGGGCATATTGTAGCATAATCCGAATCAGTCAGTGAAATTATGCAATAAAAGGTTAAACTGACAATTTGATTGCACCACAATTGCAAAGGACTAAAAGGAAATGTTCTTTGAAACCCCAATGTATAAGAGAAATTGCTAAAGTTAACTAAGGTTTCTTTAAAAGGAACCCCCTCCCCCATTTTAAAATGTTTATAATGGAAATTAGCAATACAAAGTTGTCCACACAAAACAATGTGGTTTTTTTTAAAGAAAAATAAAGTTTCAAGTCCTCAAGAAGACTGAAAATTTGCCAGCACTGGGTTCCTGCTAGTGCAATGGGCCTTCCCCTACTCCAGGGGTCTGCAACCCGCGGCTCCGGAGCCGCATGTGGCTCTTTTACACCTTTGTCGCGGCTCCGGGGCAGATACTAGCGAGGGGAGGAGGCGCTGTGGCGGGCGCTGTACTGGCTGTGACATCGCATGGGGGCGGGGCGTGTGTTAGTCACGCACTGTCCCGACGTCACCTTCCCGCCCACTGTCAGATCGCGGCTCCGGAGATATATTTGTTTTAAATGTCGCAATGGTTTTGCGGCTCCCAGTTTTTTTTCCCTTTGGAAATGGGTCCAAGTGGCTCTTTTTGTCTTAAAGTTGCAGACCCCTGCCCTACTCCCTCTATGCTTCAAAGCAAGTTGAGGGAAGGAGAGAGGAGGTTTTTCCATCATGTAACCAGAAATACTTGTGCTAATGAAACATTTTAGTGCTATATTGAATTCCTCTCATAATTCTGTCCTGATATGGTGGGGGGCTTGGGTTTGGTTACAGACCACAGAGTCCAAATAAAGCAAGTTGGTGTCCCTATTTTGAGAGAGAATTGGCTTATCTATCCTACCTTGCCAGAGCAGCAAACTCTGCGGCTCCACAGATGGCCAGATAACCAAGGGGTTGTGTGCATAGAGCGGATTCAGGAACTCCTCCCCTTTGCTGTTCAGCCAGGGCCAGAGTGAGTGCGTCTTCTCCTTCACTTCACAGAGCTTCCTGCAGGGGAAGATAGTGACATTTTAGTCCCTCTTGCGGGGTAGGTCTGAGCTAGAACAGTCTTCACCAACCTCTGGAAGAAACCTGGTTAGTAAAGGCTATGCTAGAATGTGGAGAAGTGCTTAATAATAAATACACAGGTGCTGCACATGTTGAACTACCCTGCAGTTTGGGGGTAGGAGCGGAACCCTGGAGGGAGGGTCTGGCTGGCTGGGGGTGTCTGAAGCAGAAACTTGAGCACTCCTGTAAGGGCAAGGAGGGAGACCTTGTGGTTCCCACCAACAGCCAATGTGGCCAGTGATTGAGAATGAAAGATGGCCGCGAGTTCCCCGATCCTATCCTGAGATCTACAATGAATCCTGAGATCTTGACAATAGAGAGGGCTGGTGTGAGCAACTGCAATCGGATGTGCGTAAGCTGTTTTGTACTTGTAGCTTTTGGGTGCCCCTCCCATCTTGTGGCTGCATCTCTGTTTCACCACATGGGGGTTGCATCCGTAAGAACGAGTAACCATGAAAGCACGGTGGCAATTTCTCACTTGATGGTGACATTTCCCTGTGAAATTAGATTGTGTGTGTGTGTGTTTTTGCTCTTTGTCGCTCTCTCCTATACACATAAAAATGTAAGGGTGTCACCACACAGCCTCCATTAGAGGATTTGTAGTGCCACACTACAAACCTGGTTTTGCATGAGGCCAGGATGGGAGGGGGGAGCAAAAGAATAGGCAGGTTTAAAAATGGTGGTTTTAAACAACAGCAGAGGTTTGAATAAAGCAGGGCTGGCGGGAAACAGAGGAGCTGTGAGGGGATGGGGGTTTGGGTGAGATGTATAGGGAAGGATGGGGCTGGAGTGGTTGGCAGAGGTGCAGGTGGGGTTGGGGAACAATGCAAGCAGGGGCACCAGCCTCTGCATTTGGGTTTGTGTGTGTCTGGATTTATATAATCACTCAACGTGCACAGGGCTAGTTCTTTTTAGGGGCACCTACCATGGTGCAGGACGTGAGTGGCGCTGTGGGTTAAACCACAGAGCCTAGGACTTGCCGCTCAGAAGGTTGGTGGTTCGAATCCCCGCGATGGGGTGAGCTCCCGTTGCTTTGTCCCTTCTCCTGCCAACCTAGCAGTTCGAAAGCACGTCAAAGTGCAAGTAGATAAATAGGTACTGCTCTGGTGGGAAGGTAAACGGCGTTTCCGTGCGCTGCTCTGGTTCGCCAGAAGCGGCTTAGTCATGCTGGCTACATGACCCGGAAGCTGTACATCGGCTCCCTCGGCCAATAAAGCGAGATGAGCGCTGCAACCCCAGAGTCGGTCACGACTGGACCTCATGGTCAGGGGTCTCTTTACCTTTACCATGGTGCAGAAGTGCTGCCTTTCCTGCTCTTCACCTCCACCATGTGGTGCTGTAATGTATAAGAGCCAGTAACAATGCAAGAGTTGCATTGGAATTTCCCATGGCCTTTTGATTGTATGAGCTTGCTGTGAACACTTGAGCTGTTGCCATCAATTTTTATCCTAGCCCTGACTGCCATTAGATTGGAGGAGTCACAGTTCAGGAGCAGGACACCTGTATACCTTCTGGCAGTGTGGGGCCATAGCTTAGCGGCAGAAGGTCTACTTTGCATGTAGAGGGTCCCCTGTTCAGTCAATGGCATCTCAAGGCACAGCTGGGCAAGACCCCTGCCTGAATCCGTGGCAAGCTGCTGCCAGTTAGAGTAGGCCTGCCAGGCCTCCTCCATTTGGCCTGTGTGGCCATTTCGGCCAAGCCTTGCCCACCTGCCCCTATAAAAATAAGGATGCCACTGGGCCAAAGAGGGGCTTGCAGGCCAGCAAAGCCCAGGGCACAGGAAGCCAACCATCAGCTCTCAGCTCTATGGTTTGAAGCCCTGACAATCACTGGGATCCTGTCCACGGGCATGTTGATGGAGATTTAAGGATCTGGCTGGCTGGCTGGATCCAGTTCCCCACCTCTGGTGTAGAGAGGACCGA